GGTCTGAACAAACAGATCTAGTTTCTCTCTTCAGCTCTTGATGAATTGCTTAAACATAATCAGGCTGAGGTTTCATTCTCTGTCTGGGCATCCAAATCCATATCTGCCCATCTGACTCTCATGCAGAGATCAACACTTCAATCTTGTAAGAGACATCACCTACATCTTTATTTTTCATCTCTCTTCTTTTTTTTTAAGGGAAATCAGTGAACATATGTCTGCCAGCTAATGAAGCCCTAAAGAACACCTTACCATTAGAAACATTGAAGCTTAGCAATATTAAAACTGTCAACCACAAGAAATTGCAAGTATTAGCTGAAGAAATACATCTGATTGAATTATTACAGACAGTTAGAACACCTGCATTGCAGTTACATTTAGAATTCAGTTCATACACTAAGCCAACTTTGTGAGTCATGGATTTCATTGTTTCTCAAGTACATTTGGAACTCGACAAAGGAATGATGGTTTAGGATCCTATCTCCTCAATAATTTTATGATGACTTTTGTTAATAGTTCCAATAAAAAAACAAACAAGCCCACTGCTATCATCAATGAATGGAATGGAAAATTAATCAAAATGGCAGTGAAAGGCTATTTGGAAGCAAAAAATAAGCATGATGAAGAAAACCAATGTGCAAGTGGAAAGAGGAGATGTTCAGACAAAACAGAGAAAGGAATGAGAGTGAGTGACAGAAAAAAAACGGATTAAAACCAAGTAAAATAGCCACATAGACATTTAAAGCTGGGAATACATTTAAAACAGGGAAAAAAATAAAAAATAAAAATAATAATATAATAATAAAAAAATTAATAGAGCTCAATAATTTCTCTAAAAGGCCTAAAGGGTATCAAGCCTCTAGATCCTGCCTTCAGTCCCAAGCAGTTAATAAGAAGGTAGAATACCTTTGTGAGATATGTTCTGCATATGCAGAACAGGCTGTTAAACACATGGAGCATCTAACTACGTTAGTCTCTGACAATTAGAATTGCCTTCACACATTCCTTTCTGGATAATTCCTGGTATATTCTTTTCTTGTTGTCTGGTGTGAGTCTAGACCAAGAATTTCCATTCATACACTTTGTGTTCTTTTTCTTTTTTTTTCTTTTTTTTTCCTTTCCTTAACCTGTTTATGAATGCAGACATGAACTTTGGTGTCTGTCTGTTGTTGAAGCAAAAAGCCTGCACATCCAAGGAGGTTTAAAGATTCAGAAGCTGACTGTGAGGGATGGAGACATGGGCTACAAAATGGGGATCAATCCCAACTGCTGGGAAGAGGAGCTGTCCCTGAGAGCAACTGGAGATGTCTTGAACACTACCAGATGTCTTTAGAGGAAAGCAATGTAAACATTTATTTATCAGGAAGTTTTTGGAGTCTAAGATGACATTCAAATTTAATTTATTTTTTTTTTTTAAGTCACAATCCACTCCCTTGGCAGACAATCTGAAAATCTACATGACAGAATAAGAACCAATTTGAGAACATCAGCACAGCATGTTAGAGGTGGTTTGAAGAGAAAGTGTATGTCCCAATGGAGAGAAAATGTGTTGCCACAATCATTACAGGAGTGTCCCTGCAGGGGAAGCATCATAAATATTATTATACTATTCCTGAGCTCCAATATGTGAAACGAAACTTTAGAGAGGTAATAAAGAAATAATTCTGTACAGAAAATATGGAACAATAACAGAACAAGACAATAGCAGAATAACAGAATGGTTTGGATTAGAAGAGACCTTAAAGATCATCTAGTTCCATCTGCCTGCATGGGCAGGGACACCTCCCACTAGACCAGGTTGCTCCAAGTCCCATTCAGCCACTGACCAAAGAAGTGTGTGTCCACAGACACTAGTTTGTGTGCAAAATTGTTGCTTTAATACCTGGGTTCCTGCAAGAGACTATAATAAAAGTTTGCACTCCTAAACAAACTCAGAAACATTGCAGAAACAGTATATATAAAAGCATAGTTGTTCTTATTAGCTTTGGTTTGCTTTATAGTCTTTCATTAGAGAGCTGTTATTTCCAGAAGCTGGAGCTGATCACTAATTATCCGGCTCAGTGATCACAGTTATGTCCTGAAATGCCAGGAATTGGAAACTTGCTGTCCTTCTGCATTTGCCAGGAAGGTTATCCATCTGAAAGCTCAAGAGATGTGTTCAGTCACATTTATTTCCCTTAATTAAAAATCGTTCACCTCTAAATAAGAAGACACTTTTTGGCTGTCTCAAGTGGATCACCACAAATCTTCAAACACTGAAGATCACTGGTCACTTAGAAAAAGTCTTTTGCCTTTCCAATTAATATGAACATTTAATTAATTTTGTTCCAGTATGAAAATTATGTTTGCATACCCAGGAATTTAGCAGCTCTACCAATCTGCTTTCCAGTTTCACCTAGAGTAGGACATGTCTCACCAACACTTATGGATGATGAAACATTGAGGCTGCCCTAGGCTCAGCTGTATGATGGGAGCTTGAAATGGAGGCACCCACAAACACACAGGGCTTTACTAGGAATGAATATTTATTCCAATCAACACTATTTAGCACTCTGATAATTAAAGAAATAATATCACAGTTTCAGATGTCAGTCAGGAATACACTACAACAGCACAGCTACTTGAGGATTAATACACTACAGCACAACTATGCAAGGATTCCTAAACATTTTTTTTTACTAGTCTTAGTAAAGACTAGTAAATAATCATAATAATTATAAGAATAATCCCACCTGTGCAGATTCACCTGTGAGGGGAAAGCTTCCCCCTCAGGTACCTGGAATCACTTGCCCAGTAGGAGCAAGACTGACTCAAAGTTCTATCTAGAAGAAATGTCACTCGCCAAAGATGTGGTCACTCTATCTTGAGAAGTCTCCTCAGGTGGCATCTGACCTGAGGGATAGGCTTCCTCACAGACCTCCAAGGAAAAACCTAACCAAGGGCTTCCTGGCAGTATCTCTATTTTTATGGAGCAAGTCAAATCTGACCTGTGGTCATTCATTCGTTCATCTATCTGGGCGAGGACACTCCATTGGCTGGAGACCCTGTTCATCAACAGAGGGTCTTACCCTGGCAACACCCCAATTGCCTGTGAAAACCAGCTGCCACCAAGTCACTGTTCTGCAGCCCAGCAGGGAGTAAGACCAGAAACTGGTCTTAGTGCTACCCAGTCTAACCCAACAAAGGTGACACGATATGTGGCCCACCAGTGGTTGGACTCCTAAAAGACTGAGACATGACAGTTGTCATTTCTTGGTCAAAAACCCGAAACAACAAGGTGTGTTTATGCAATCTAATGTACATCCAAAAAAAACTAGCATCTGAATTTGAGCTAACCTCCTCTTACAGTCAAGAAGACAGAAATCTCATCCTAAGATACACATCTAAAATAGGTTTAATGTGGTTTTTTTTTTCCCCTCCTCATTAGCTTTCAGTAAGTCTAGTGCATCTGTTTAAGAGCTACAGTATAAAAATCAAACATACCCCTTTGTTAATAAGTAATACTTTCTCCCTGGAAAGCTGGGTAGTAACCAGAAGAGTCATGCACTAGAAAGAAACTCAAAGACCTAACAATTATACAAAGGGACTATATTATTTAGATGGAGAGAAGTATACTACCAGTTCCAATCCTATTCTACAGAAAGTAGCTGAATAATGCTACATTGTAGAGATACAGTTCATTAAAGTGGTCTCTAAATATGACCTAAGAGGAGAGAATGTGTATTTTTGTGTGCCAATATAAAGGCAAGCTCTGTATGCTGACCACTGTGCATTGTAACAGGCAGGTCATACAATTGATACATGAGCAAGAAACTCCTAAGAGTTAGTCTAGTCACATCTCTGCCCTATTAACTAGTTCTTATTTAAACATAAAACCAAAATATAGGTCAAGAATGTTTTTAAATACCTAGCTATTAAAGTGCCTGAGAATATCTGTATATTAAGCAATTGCAAAGCATTTGCATGCAAGCTATAAAAGGCTGTTAATGAGAATGAGATAGAGGATTGAAACACTTATGCTGCTTGTCACAGAATCTCCCTGTGCAATTCTTCTGAGGTGATGAAAAGCAAAGGTATGATCCATGGTCTAGCAAAGAACTGAGATGAAATGCAAGATGAGTTTATTTTAGGGTTTATTATACAGTGAAAAACATGCTTTATTCAGTGGTCTCCTGGGTGGTATGAGAGGCCAGATCCAGCCACCATGCAGAGGAGAACAATGGGTGGGAATAGATTTACAATCCCCAGACATGTTAGACTGAGAGATTCATGGGATAGCATGTTACTTTCTAAGTAATCGCTTCTCACAGAATCATGGAATGGTTTGGGTTGGAAGGGACCTTAAAGATAATCTAGTTCACACCCCCTGCATGGGCCAGAACACCTCCCACTACAGCAGGTTGCTCAAAGCAAATAAATCCCCGTATCTGCATGGGCCAGAACACCTCCCACTAGAGCAGGTTGCTCAAAGCAAATAAATCCCCGTAATCTTCATTAAGAGATGAGGTTCTTCAAAACAGTAATGAAAGGGTTTGAGAGACCCACTTGTATGGTTTCATAAAATTGACCCTCTGAAACTGGAGGCATCCAGAAGCACTGGCTGAAATATCTCAAGGCTTAGATATCCCAGGGCTGATGGGAATCTCTAATTTTATCCCATCTGCCCAAGAAAAAACAATCTTAAACCGATGGATTAGAAACAGGAGCCACATTATGGTTTGGGATTTTTTTAACTATTACTTGATTTTATTTTATTGTTAATCTCAGGTACAAACAGTAACCAGATTCCCTCAAGGATTTGACTTGCCCTTCTACAGGATGAGCAGTGACCACAGTTCTATTGTATCCACAAAGGAGTTTGAAAAAGCCTTAACATACCCTATTGGACCATATAGAAATAGTCAGAATCAGGGTCAGCAACAGCTCCTTCACTCTTAGCAAGTGTTGACTTTGAGAACATGGATTTATATCAGTACAGTGTAAATAAAAACTTTCCTTACCATGGGAAGCAATATGAGAGTGAAGAAGCAGATCTTCCAGTTGACGGCCATCTTCTCTCCTGCTTTAGGAACTGCAGTGAAGTTTTGCTTGTTGACAATATTATTAGGGCTGAAGCACTCACTGTCTGCAGATCTTTTGGTAAGGTCCTCACATCAAGGCTCAGATCTCTGCAATGGAAGAGGAGAATTATATAAACATGGAAAAAAAATATAAGAGAATGAAAAAGAAATGGGTAGCAAACAGAGACCTCAACACTTGAACGGTGAGTTGTACATATTAGAGAGCAACCATACTTGTCTGAATTGCTGCTGTGGTCTTGAATACTTAACTTAAAGCCAAAGGACATGTCTGTATGATCAGTGACTTGTATCATGGAAACTACTGAATCAGGTTCTGTATCTGCAAACACCTGAATTGCACCCAAGGGAAAAGGCAGGATGGATTCATTTGAACCAGAAAAACGACCTGTCTGCTTAATTTCTGAAGTTGTGATTTGAACTTCATGATTTTCATTAGTGTCTCAAAAACACAACTATCTGGGGCTTTTTAGGAGACTGTGACAGGATGATTAACTCCCAGAGATCACTTTTCCAGATAAGAAAATCCATGAGCAGAGCTGTTAATAATCTGAGAGCTTTTTGAGAACTCAGCAATAGAATTCCAAAATAATTAATTTTACTGTCAGGCTGCAGATTGATCCTTGACACAAGAGAGGATTGACTTACATGGACAACAAGGTCATGCATAATTGTGACTTCCATCTCTTGGTCTCTGCCAAGGATTTAGACAAGTGTTCAGGACATCAACAGAATTGCATACCTGACATTAGCTCCATCCTAACACCTCCTGCCATAACACAGTGTTTTAAAACTCTAAGTCATGATGATTCCTCAAACAGTTTTTAATTGAAGAGAACCTCTCTGTTCCAATCTCTGGTTGGATCCAATCCTCATTATCTTTTAAAATACAATCCTGCAGATCTTCATACTCTGGTGACACAGAGGTGTCAGTTGATGCCTTATGTAGAGTCAGGTTTTTTAACATGGAGATATGTTTTCCTATTAATTAGTTTTCTTTCCTCAGTTGTCCCTCATGTGAGATGGTTCCCCTTGTACTGGGTTTCCATGGCAAAGTTTTGGTAGCCAGGGGACTACAGGGGTGGCTTCTGCAAGAAGATGCTAAAAGCTTCCCTTATGTCTGATAGAGCAAATGCCAGCAGGCTCTACGATGGACCCACCACTGGACGAGGCTGAGTCAATCAGTGATGGTAGCACCTCCATGATAACATATTTAGGAAGGAGAAAAAAACAAACTGCTGCACAACAGCAGCCAGAAGAGAGGTATGAGAAGATGTGAGAGAAACAACTCTGCAGACACCAAGGTCATTGAAGAAGGAGCAGGAGGAGGCACTCCAGGCACCAGAGCAGAGATTCCCCTGCAACCCCTGGTGAAGGCAATGGTGAGGCAGCCTGCCCCCTGCAACTCGTGGAGATCCATGTTGGAGCAGATATCTACCTGTGACCCATGGAAAACCCACACCAGAGTGGGTGGGTGCACCCAAAGGAGGCTGTGACCCTGTAGGAAACCTGTGCTGGAACAGGCTCCTGGCAGGACCTGTAGCCCCAGGTAGAGAGGAACCCATGATGGAGCAGGTTTTCTGGAAGGACTTGTGACCCTGCAGAAGGGACCCATGCTGGAGAATTTTGTAAAGAACTGCAGCCTGTGTGAAGAACTCATGTTAGAGAAAGACTTTTTCCTGTGGGAGGAACCCCACGCTGGAGCAGGGGAACAGAGTAAGGAGGCAGGAGGGGCAGAGACAACATGCAATGAACTGACCCCAACCCCCATTCCCCATCTCCCACTGCAATTAGGAGGGAGGAGGTAGAGAAATGGGGAGGGCAGGTCAGCCTGGGAAGAAGGGAAGGGTGGGGAGAAGGTGTTTTAAGATTTAATTTCTATTTATCATTACCCTGCTCTAATCCAACTGGTAATAAATTCAATTAATTTTCCCAAGTCAAATCTATTTTGCAAGTGACAGTAATTTCTGTCCCTGTTCTTATCTCAACCCATCAGCTTCTTGTCATGTTTTCTCTCCACTGTCCAGCTGAGGAGAAGTGACAGAACAGCTTTAGTGGGCACCTGGCATCCAACCAAGGCTAACACACCACACCCCATCAGTGTATCTCTGCCCTATAGACCTGATTCCTCCAAGATATATTACATGTAGAGATAGGACAAGGGGTAATGGTTTAAAAGTGGAAGAGAGGAGATTAGGTTAGACACTAGTGAGAAATTCTTTCGTGTGAGGGTGGTGAGACACTGGAACAGGTTGCCCAGAGGGGTTGTGGCTGCCCCATCCCTGGAAGTGTTGAAGGGCAGGTTGGATGGGGCTTGGAGCAGCCTGGGCTGGTGGGAGGTGTCCCTGCCCATGCAGGGAGCTGGAACTGGATGATCTTTGAGGCCCCTTCCAACCCAAACCTACCATGCTTTTAGGATTTTATGAAAATCTACAGTAATTTAGCTGCAGCCTCTCTGTGTAGGAAGGTAGGAGAGTTTAGCCCCTTGGAAATGAGCTGTGCCACACCAGTTTGACTCAGAGCCAGACAACTGGCTCTCATCTGTTACATTTCCAAGTGTAAATGAAGCCTTTGAATGCTTAGGCCCTACTTATATTCTTCTTGTCTGATGTAGGTTTCCTACATTCCACCATGTGTCACCTCTGTGAGCACAGGTAAATGTAAAGGAGCTTTTACAATCAATGACTGCAACACAGTGTCAAGACATCAGCATTTAGAAAGGAGAGAGTCTTTCAATTAAAAAATAAAAACGGAAAATTAAGCTTACTCTAAATTTTTGTCTTCTTTTTCCAGATCCTGACTAAATGGAGAACAATGATTCATAAAATTCCCCTAAACTGCTCTGCTTTTTTCCATCCTCACTCAATCAGTCACTCTCACTCTGCTCTCTGCTCTGGTACTGAATTTAATTACTTAACCGTATTCCTGATGGTTTATCAAATAATGAAGCACTGATAAGATCTCAGCTGAGGAGACCAGCAAACATCCGTGGTGACATTCAGCAGTGAGGAGCTGGAAAAAGAAAAAGCCACTCCATTAACAGGAGCAACAGAAAACCAGGCAGATGCATTAGCAGACATTGGATTTGAGATAATTTTTTGACCATTTGCACTCCTGAGTGCAAGCCAAGCCAGCCAGGAGAGAGGGTGGTGTGGAGATTGAATTGTCTCCTTAGAGTCTGACTGCGATGCATCAGAAATACAATTTATATTCAATGAAAGGGTGGATGGGCAGATCACAGAATCACAGAATATTAGGGGTTGGAAGGGACCTCCAAAGATCACCAAGTCCAACCCCCCTGCCAGAGCAGGACCAAAGAAACTAGGGCAGATCACTCAAAAATACATCCTGGTGGGTCTTGAATGTCTCCAGAGAAGGAGACTCCACAACCTCTCTGGGCAGCCTGTCCCAGGGCTCTGTCACCCTCACAGGAAAGAAGTTCTTCCTCATGTTGAATTTCCTGTGCTTAAGGTTGAATCCATTGCCTCTCATCCTATCACAAGGCACAAGTGACATGAGGTTGTCCCTGCCTTCTTGATGCCTGACCTTCATGTATTTATAGATATTAATTAGGTTCCCCCTTGGTCTTCTCCTCCTTAGACTAAAAAGCCCCAGGTCTCTCAGCCTTTCCTCATAAGGCAGGTGTTCCAGTCCCTTCATCATCCTCTTAGCCTCCGTTGGACCCTCTCAAGTAGATCCCTGTCCCTCTTGTACTGTGGAGCCCAGACACCCTGTGGGAAAGTGGCAACCTTTAAAACACATTCTTTCCAATACTTAAAGACCCAGTTTTACTTTAATCTGCCATTCACCAGGTTCGAAGAGTGGCTGTTTTCTTTTTTATCTTAGTTTCAAAGGAACTTCTAAAGAGACAAGAACACCTTCAACCCATTTCATTGCCTTTCTTTCACATTTTACAGAGAAAGTAAAGGAATTGAATTAACTTTTTCCTTCAAGGTAGTAATGGAAAAAAACTGAGTCATGCATCAAAAACTGAGCTGGGGCCTTTGTACTGTCCACAGAGGCTCAAGTGTTTATTAGGTAATAACAACTACCAGTTCCATGAACTTATGCCCTAGACCTGTAGCAGAACCTCCACGTATCGTTTAGCAGCTCCTGCCATGATATGATGTACATGGGTGCAGAGTGTTACCAAGAAAAGGCTACTTATCTCACAAATTGCTACCATCAGCTATGTTTTATTAGAAAAAAAAAAAAAACACAACTTTTAAGCAATGTGGGCAATGTTTATGAAACATTTTTGTTTCCATTTGGTACTGGGAAAAGACATAAATATTTGAATCTGGGATTTGGAGGGGAAGCTTGAATTATCATATTGTCTTCTGAAGACACTAGTGGCCAAATCTTGTAATTCAATTAGTAAATTTGAGATACTGGTGCTTCATGCTGTTTTAGCTGCATCTGCTACTGTAATTAAAATTAGTGAGGTCAGAACAATCAATAGCATGAAGGAGGCACCTTTCAGCTGTGTATATACAGTTCCCCAATGTAAAAAAGAAGTCTTCAATTAACTCTGGTGATACAGATGGGCTGTTGAATTGTATGAGAATCTGAAATCAGCTGATTATTACTAAAATTCAATGGGCTTCAGGGGATTTTTTCAACCATGGATTAAATACAGGGGGGGAAAATAAAAAACAACTTGTTAACATCTTGTGCTGCAAGTGCCCATTTTTTTTTTTTTTCCCCTGAGTAAAAGGGGAGTCTGGAGTGCTGAGCTCATATGTGGGTTATGTTGCAGAAGCCCAAAGGCTACTGAGAACTGTGCCATGAGAAACACAGAAGTGCCAAGTGCACAGTATGATGTCAATAACCAACAAAAACAAGTAGTGAGTCCTTTCCAAGTAGGATGTGCCTACACCCAGGGAGGCAGAAAGGAATCACTGCTTAAAAGAATCAAACCTCACCAGATCAAGTAAGGGGTGGAATTGTCAGACAGCATCTCAGA